ATGAGGAGCTGATGCCAGGGGCTTATGTGGAGAGCAAATGTTTTGAGAATGATGAGGGCAATGAATGTACAAATGTGCTTTCCACAATTGATGTATGTATGGATTGTGATAAGAATTGTATGAGTCCCCAATAAAATGATTAAAAAAAAAAAAGAAAATATTTTCAAATTTGTAGTAATATTTCTGATTAAAAAGTGTCAGAAATCTTAACAAATAATTTTGGACTTCTGCCGACATTATTCTATGTATGGTTTATAAAGAACTAAGGTTAGATAACCTGTCTCATACTCTCCCTTTATTTCAGGGACTGATACTGAACAGAGAGGTCCCACACTTTCAGGGGACAGAAAAGGTTTTTTTTTTGAAAAGGTATTTTTTAAAAGTCTCAGCACCTCATATGTATCTTGAATTTTATTCCATAATACATCTTTTTTTTTTTTAAAGAAAATCTTTTTGGTTATAGTGGTCTCCCTTAAGTAAAATTTGTTAATTTTGACCCTCTGCATAATTCTTTGCACCAACCAAAAATATTCCACCACCGAAAGTCGATCCTGACTCAAAGGAACCTCTACATAGGGTTCTGAGAGTACCTTCTACAGGCATGGTCAGTTTCATCTTTCTCTCAAGGCGTTTCGGTGGTGTTGCTGTACTCAAATTGGTTCCAACCCATACAGACACTAAGTACAACAGAGTGAAACATACTCACCATAGTTCCCATGCTTGAAGAGTGGTAGATGGATTTAAAGCAATAACCTCATGGCTACCAGCCCAGGCTTAAGCCAGAGTATCACCAGAATGCTTAATCCTTAGCACAGCACTCCCTAATTTCAAATATTTGTCTATTTGGTTAGACTTTAGTACCCAGTTGCTTGGTCAAATGCTAGTCTAACTCTAGTCTAGATGCTCATGTGAAGTTGTTAGCGGCCATCCAGCTAGCCCTAACTCAAGAGAACACACACAGAATGGAATGATTGTCTAATCCTACACAATAATGGTCAAGGAAGGTGGTGGGTATTGTTGTGTGATGCATAGGATTTTCATGGGCTGATATTTGGAAGTAGAACAGCTAACACTTTACTTTCTACTCCTTATTCGTCTGGAAGCTCTGCTGAATTGTTCAGCATCACAGAACATGCAATCTTCCTCTGGCAGGGAAGCAGCTCTGCATGAGTGTACTTGCCAGGAACTGAACTTAGCTATCCAACACAAAAGGTGAGAAATCTATCACCAAACCACTAATGCTTCATGTTATCAAGTACTTGCATGCATGTAATTAAATGAGTTGGCCTTAAATAAAGCTGATTAGCTTTCACAAAATATATGGGCTTCATCTAATACACTGAGGGTCTTAATAGCAAATAGGGAGTTTTTTCCTAAGGTGCTTTCTGCCTCCAAACTGGATACCTTGCCCAACTTTCTCCTACTCTTTCCTGACTTACAACATATTTTGAGACAGAAGAACTAAGGAAACTCCAACTTTGTTACCTGATATACAGAGAGTCCTGGTGGATCAATGTTAAGCCCTTAGCTGCTACCTGCAAGGTTGGTTTTTGAACCTATTTGTGACTCTAGGAGAGAACGTCCTGGAGTTGTGCTAAAGATTCCAGGCAAGAAAACGCAGGGGGCAGTTTTACTCTGTTGCAGGGACCACACTGAGTGGAACATTGCCTTGATGGACCCCATCACCACCACCTGACATAGGGATTTTGGACTCTCCAGCAGCATGATGAAGAGAGCTAATGCCTTAAAAGAAACCTTGTGTTCTCTACTTAAATCTTTCTGGTTTTAATTCTCCAGGGAATCCTAAGACAAGTCATCTGTTTGTGAAGCCAGGTACCAGAGTTTTACCTACTAAAACTTTTTGTTTGTTTGTTTTCGGGAAGACCCTCAATGCTAAGCTTTTAGGGCGATGCTTAATCACACTCCTAAAGGTTTTAATCCTAAAACTGTAGTATTCTGCAATGGCCTGTTAAGTGAGGGCGTTTTAGTCATTTAGAAAAAAGTCGTATTTGGCTTTATTCATCACCATACCCTCTTAGAACCATCAGTTATTTTTAGATTAGTACATGGTTTGACCAACTTCTTTTTCATCTGGGGTTGCAATCGCGTCCTTTTGTGTGTGCCTACGATCATCGTGATGCTTCTCCTTTCCCTCACCATTTCCTTAAGGTAAATTCGCCTTCCCTACTCCCACATAGATTTTCCCAAATCCTGGTTCCGCGGCCAGGCGGAGAAGCCAGGGGGGAGAGGGAGGAAGAGGAGGAGTAAAACAGGCGCCCTGGACCCCGGCCTGCAGGAAGCTCCGCAGTTAGAAGCAGGAGGGGTCTTGGGTTAAGGAAGGGCCCGCCCTCGAGTGTGCTGGCCCGGCGCAGGCCGGCTCGGATGCCTTTTGAGTGATGCTGGTCCCAATGCCCAGCCTGGGCAGGCGATGGCATGGCGAAGCGTTCGACCAGGCCCTGGCCACTGGGATACAGGGTGAGGGCCTGGATGCGCGTCCTCAGGGCCGCGCAGACCGCACAAAGGGGCCCCCAGTCGGCTTCCCGTCGACTCCTCACCTGTGCTTGGCGGACGAGAGCCCAGCCGACGCTCGTACTAGCAGCACCGCTGGGAGAAGCTCTGCACTGCGCCGGGACACCACGGCAGTCGGCGGCCTAGCAGGTAGCGGATGCTCCAGTTCCACCGCCACCGGAGCTTTGAGGTTCGGATCCCGGGATTGGGCCCCGTCCCCTCCTTTGCCCCGCCCACCCGCCAGCCTAGGCAGGACCCCGGATGTTACCTCTTTCCGCGCACGGAATCCCCGCCCTTTCTTTTGAAGCTCCGGCCTCTTCCGAATCCGCTACGGGTCCTTCTAGGCCTGCGAAGGGTTTCGATGTCTCCTGGGTGGCTAGAGCGTCCTCCCGCCCGCCGTCGCGCTGCAGGTGACGGCGCCCGGAGGCTGTCGGGAAGTGGGCGGGGTGACGTGTGGTTGACGAGCTCCGCGGCGGGTTTACGGACATCTGTGACCGGCGGCAGCTGGGGTAGGGGGCCTCTGAGAACCGGAGGTGGAGCGGGGCGGCTTGCGGTCGGGACGATGGCGGCCAATGCTGGGGAATGGTGCCTCATGGAGAGCGACCCGGGGGTCTTCACCGAGCTCATTAAAGGATTCGGTGAGAGCCAAGGGGACGGTGCTGGGCCGAGGGTCACGGGAGGAGGCCCAAGCTGGGCTTGGAGTGGATCCCTGCTGCTACCGCCCCTCGCCGTGTGAGGAGAGGTACCTGTAGGAACTTGGAGTTGGGGACGGGAAAGGCAAGACACCCCCGCCCCCCATTCCCTGCAGCGCTTGGCATTCGTTTTCCCACAGTTAATTTGAAAGGCACGCCACGCGGGCAAGGACCGGATCTCTCTCGTACCTCTCTCTACCCTCCGGACCTGGTACTCACCTCAAAACGTGCTTATTGGACTTGAGCGCTTCCCAGAACCTTCAAGTCCACTGTTTTGGAGTCGGTTCGGACTTTAGCGAACCGTAGGCACACGTCGCGATTTGCAGCGCCTCTTCTCGGGGCGCGAGTACCTAGGCGCCTCACTGGAGCCATCAGCCTCGGAGAAAAAGCTAGGCAAGGGTGTGCCTTCTCGAGGGCGGGGTGTCAAAAACCCTAGCCGCAAAGGAACCCGAGTTTCTAGTTAGTCCAAGCAAAACTTTGCTTTGGAACGATGACCAGTTCTGCAGGACCTCCCCGGAGTGCCTGCGCGGCACCCACACGCCACTTCACTTTCCCTTCGGGCCCGGCTGCCGTTTAGCTTCCGGCGAAGCGCGCGTGTGCTTGAGCTCGTCTCGACGGGGCGCCTTCCCCTAACTTCTCCCTGGCTGTATTCCCTGGCCTTCATGCGAAATAACCAGCATATCTGGTGCTTATCTTCCCTTCATTGTGCTCCTGATCTCTTTTATGGGCAAAACTTTATTTTTCATGTTAATTTCCTCAAGCATTATTGATTCTCCGGGGAAACCCCCCCCTCCCCCAAAAAAACCCAACAACAAACTCACTGCCATCTAGTGGATTCTAATTCATAGCGACTTAACTGTTATGTCAGTAGTTCAAAACCACCAGCTACTTTCTGGGGAGAAAAGATTATCTACTTCCGTAAAGAGTTACAATCTTGGAAACCCATTGGGTTGGTTCTCTGTTTATGGGGTCACTGTGAAATTATTAATTCTAACTCATGTTAAAGACTTTTCTCAGGATTAGAATGAAATGTTGATGTGTTGTTTATTTTCATAGAGGCTCTATAGGGCAGGATAGAACTGCCCTTGTGAGTCTCCGAGATGGTAACAGTTTCAGGGAGTTTGAAAACCCATCTTCTCACGGAGTAGCTGGTGGTTTCAAACTGCCGACCTTGTGAGTTGCAGCCTAAGGCATAACCACTGCAATAGTAGGGCTCCTATGAGTGGCACTGACTCAATGGCAGTGAGTTTGGCTTTTTTTTTTTTGGTGTTGCTTACTGTATATAGTTAAACATTTGGAATATAAACATTTTATTCATATAATATATTGTATGTACTCTGTTAAGGATTGGAATTTTTAAGCTGATAAATCATGAAGAACTCACAATAAAAAGCAATATGGTATGCCAAGTTTTATGCTATAATAAACTCATGCCATCGAGTTGATGTCAACTCATAGTGACCCCATAGGACAGGATTGAGCTCCCCTGTCAGTTTATGAGGCTAATCCAACCCCATAGGACAGGATTGAGCTCCCCTGTCAGTTTATGAGGCTAATCCAACCCCATAGGACAGGATTGAGCTCCCCTGTCAGTTTATGAGGCTAATCCAACCCCATAGGACAGGATTGAGCTCCCCTGTCAGTTTATGAGGCTAATCCTACAGGACTGAAAAGCCAGTCTTTCTCTCATAGAGTGGCTGGTGGTTTCAAACTACTGACCTTGCAGTTAGCAGCCCAACTTGTAACCACTATGCCATTGGAGCTGATTAGTATATAAAAATGATCCACAGCACAGGTCATGGAAGAGCTTGAGCAGAGGGAAAACATAAACTGTGATGTGAAAGTATATGGCAGAGCAAATAGCAAAGTGACTGAAATGTTTTAACAAGGTTAGAGAAGTATTTGGATATAAAACTGAAAAGATAAACTGAGTCCAGATTGTATGTCATATTGTGTAGTATGAATTGCATTGCATTCATTGGTGACTTAACTGTCAGTTGTTTGAATAGGGTAATTATGGTGTTTTATAATTAAGAGTTACTATGTGTGTACAATCAGCTCTCCATTTCTGTTGGTTAGGAAGCCTTAGATTCAGCAATAACAGATGAAAATGTGGGTGTAGGAATTCCAGACAGCTCCCCCAAAACAAAACTTGAATTTGCTGCATGGAGAGCACTACACTGAATCCACGAGAATGAAGTGATGTGCAGGCATACCCTACTGTAGCCTCTATTTCACAGAACCTTAGTCATTTTCCAACAATCTGTGGAGCAAGTCAGCGGTGTTTGCCTTATGTCTTCTTCACTTGCTACTTGAATGCACCTGTTGTTTCTGTGGGGAAAAAATGGCTATTAAAAAGCAAATAACTGGTCAAAGCAGCCCTGCATTTACATTGTACTAAGTGTTATAAGTAATCTAAGAACAATTTAAATTATATGAGGGACTAGATGGTTGATGAATGTTAACTTGGGTGAAGTAGAAAATAGTAATCCACCAGAGGGAGAAGAGAAGTTAAGGAATGGGGGAAGGGTAAATTGTTGAGTATAATTAATAGTTTGGCTGCTGATTACAAAATTGGTAATCTGAAATGTAAACCTCCATTTAGTTCACAATAAAAAGATTGTTTGGAAAAGTACACAGGAGGATGTGTGTAGGCTACATTACATATGTATGACTTGAGTGTCCTTGGATTTTGGTGTCTATAATGGGTTGAGGTTCTGGAGCCAGTCCTCTAAGGGTACTAAGGGAACATAGTGTGCAGAATAGGTTAGAATAAAATTAGAAGCTAGAGTTGAAGATGATTGACCTTACTTAGGAAGAGGTAGATTCATTAATTGTGCTGGATTAAAATCAGCAGGAATGCTGAATGAGTGGATATGAGGGCTGGGGGGGGGGATGAAATGACTGGTTCCTAGTTGTAGTGTCTTGTTAAGGACAACTATAGGAAAAGAGGAGTAAGTTGGATGCACAAGAAAATGGGTTCAGTTTTGGACATACACTGAGTTTGCGATGTTTGCAGATTTGTCAAAAAATCTTATCTTAAACCTTAACTGTATTGACATGTAAAATTAACTGTAAGAAATATTGTTGGCTAAGATTATTTTGAGATGTTCCAATCCATTAGGCTATTGCTTATCACATGTGTAGAAAAATTGGAATTCAAAGTAATTTAATAAATCATGCTCTTCAGAGAATGATATATGAATATATTACCTGTACCTGCTTGTAATAGTGGAAAAACTTTGCAAAAACTTAAATGTGGATTATTTCAACAGCTGCTTTAAATAGAAAATTTTAATTTATTCCAACATTTCCCTTTTTCTTTGATTTAAAAAGTTTTGGGGAAGTTCATTTGTTCAAAAGTGCAACTTAATTGTGTGGATGTTATTATAAATTCATTTTAAAAGTTCTACATTGGAAGGGAAATTATTTGTAAATACAGTAAATATCTAAGTATAATTTTTTGGTGGAATAGAATATCATGGTATTAACTCTGTCGTATTAGATGAGGAAATATATGGAGCGCAGTATAATTTAATTGACTGTAGTAACAAAGGAACCAAAATAAGCTGTGATAGTAGAAGCTGTAATCTTCCACTTCCAGACAGGATAGAGTACAGGGAAAAGATTTGTCTTTCCTAATACAAATCAATGATTTCAGCTTCCACTCCAGCAAACTAGAAAAATAAGAGAAAGTTTAGCTGTAATTAAAGAGAACAGAATTATTAAAGGTCAGAGTTGATTTCAATGAGGGGGGAAAAATAAAAGAGAAAGAAAAATCATTAAGTCTGAAAGCTGGATCTTTTTGGTCAATACAGTTGATAAATCTCTAGTCCAGCTAAACAGGAGGAAAAAAACAGGAGACAATTAGCATTATCAGGAAGGAGAAGTATCACTACAGATTCTACAAAGACAATAATGAAATATGAATAATAAGGTAATAACACGATTAACTTAATGCCCCTAAGTTTGACTACTACATAAAATATACAAATTCCTTTAAAGATCCAAATGACCAAAACTCAACTCAGAAATAGCCAAGAGAGTCCTGTATCTGTTATTGAAATTATAGTTTAAAGCCTCCCCCCAAAGAAAGCTAGCCAGTAGTATTTCACTGGTAAAGTCTATCCAATATTGAAAAAATAACACTCACTCTATAAACTCTTCATAAAAAATTAGACAGGACTGGGGTTTTTAAAGGCTTGAAGATAAACAAGTGGCCATGTAGCTCAGAAGAAACAAAGCCCACCTGGAGAAAGCATATCAGTCCATGTGATCATGAGGTGTCCTTGGGATCAGGTATCAGGCATCTAAGACCCAGAATAAAACCATACCCAATGTGAAGGGGGGTGGGGCATGGAGTGGAGACCCAATGCCTATCCATAGACAATTGGACATCCCCTCACAGAGGGGTCACAGGGAAGAGATGAGCCATTCAGGGTGCAGAATAGCAACGGTGAAACACACAACTTTCTCTAGCTGTTTGGCACTTCCTTTCCCCCACTATCATGATCTCAGTTCTACCTTACAAATCGGATTAGACCAGAGCATGCACACTGCTACAGATAAGAGCCTGCAACACAGGGAATCCAGGATAGATAAATCCCTCAGGGCCAACAAGGAGAGTAGAGATAGCAGGAGGATTAGGGGAAGGTGGGGGGAGAAAGGGGGAATCGATCACAAGGATCAACCCCCCTCCCAGGGGGACGAATAATGGAAAAGTGAGTGAGGGAGGGCAGGCGGGAGGGAGAGGGAAGAAGTGGGGAGTTGCTATCAGGGGCTCAAGTGGGAAGAGAATGCTTTGAAAATGATTATGGCGGCATATGTGCAAATGTACTTGACACATTGCAGGAATGTATGGATTGTGATGAGATGTAAGAACCCCTATTAAAAAAAAATTAGACAGGAATGAATACTTCTCAACTGATTTTATGAGGCTAATGTTA